ATTCGTGTTTTTTGTTTTTAATTATGAGAATCAGTTGTTCGAACCGAATGCTTTCACAATTCAAGTTATGCGTTTTGAGATTGTTACAGCTGGTTAGTTAAAAAAAGGGAGTTATTAAATTAATGACAAGAGAAAAAATACCTTTTATTAAGAATTTTTTTAAGTGTGATCTCGTGAAAATTTGAAAACAAATGCGACATTCTCTTCCACGATGAACGTGAATTCCCCACAATTTTCATCTTCACAACTAATGTGAATAATAATACCTCTATAATTTAAGAGGGGGAAGGTAAGTTTTAATAGATTTTTAAGTCCTCATGTATCACGATTCCTTTGTTAACAAAGTACGTCACAAAGCAATGCCGCGCTCATCGCTCGGCAGAGAGTAGGCTGCAAAATTACCGAGGGCATTATACGCGACCGTCGTAAAGCTGATAATTTCCCTCATTCCTATATCCTTCGACGTGATATTCGCGAAATAGAGCATCGATTTATAACGAGTCACTTGCGAGCGATTTCTCATGTCGAGCAGACGAGTTGCGACATTTCTCACAACACAAACACATCAATATGAAGAAGTCGTGACTGGATTGGGATCGCTCGTAATGAAAATCGGGCTGTGCAAATGCATGCGTTTCACCGTGGAGTATCCTCCAGCATATGTGCGTACACACGCATACAGAAAGAGAGTACAGTTAGCTCCTTAGCTCAGGTCTTATCTCGGAGACGCCGGTTGCTGCACGTATAAAGGCCATGCGAATTTCCTCGGACAGTTTGCCGGCGTTAATGAGCTGGCAAGATAATTAGCATTATGTTAATGCGCGACGTGATCTCTCACCCTGCTCATCCCAGTTTCTGTGTGTGTGTGTGTGAGCTCGCAAACTCGCTGAGTAACGTGACGTAATCTTAGCTTGATGTTCTTGCGTCGCACGCGCATGTAGCTATCCTTTTTGGAATATTCAACTAATATAACTTTAAGGAAGCACGCATCTCGTCACATAATAAATGAATCGTGGTCCTTTGGCAATCGCGCGAGCATTGTTACTCGTACGCAGTGTGGTGCAGCAACAAACAAAAAAATGGCCTGCCATCGAAATTCGCCAAAAGCAACTGTCCACCAGAGCAACACGCGCGAGCTTCAAATATTCAATAATGTTTGAGGAACTCTCAAAGGCCATGTACTTGTATAATCCCTCGATACATACTCGTCGGCCATAAACCGTAAGTATACATATGCCCATTCTTCTGCGAGTACCTCCTTAATCCGAGAACGAAGAGAGAGCTTCATTTCCATTCAGCTCTTCGTTCTTTGTCAATTTTAATATTCCGTTGAATAGCCGGGCTTCTCTCTTTGCCCTTCGACAAAACGAAGTATATTCGATGTGCGCCCCAGCCTCAGTCCTTACAGTAGCTCGCGCATGCCGAGCGATAGGATCTACTAGATAGGATTGTCGGCTGGACGCACTGACCAGCTCGCCGATAAGGATCGACTCTCATTCTCTCTGTTTGTGCGAGCTTTATAATTCATCGACGAGAGTCGTGTACGCGATCTCGACTTGCGCACGGCGAACCCCTCAAATTTTTCACGAATGCGACATCAGCCGCGAGGATCTGTGCGACGATAAGCTCAGCGCATACGCGTTTAGCCGTTGATGGTTTTACCTGCTGGCTGGCGTGCATTAAGTCTGTATAAATATTGAGCTTGCAATATTGCTCTTGAGTTGGAAACGGACGCTTGCCGAGAGGAGCAATCGGCGTTTCTTTTGAGCGACGAAAAGCAAAATCGTCGGCGACGAGCAATGGTGCAATTACGCTACAGGGCAGTACAGCGCGCAGCGTGCGACGTTGCCGACCAAGCGATCGCTTCCCGCGCAGCCCCGTAAAGTGGCGACGCAGAACCGCATTCGCCGTCTCGTGCACAGGCGATCGCGCATGCGCCGTCCTCGCTTCGCATTATCAGACCGTCCGAGTCCACTTTAGGCGCAGCGTGGGGAAAAACCAAGAGCGGCGGTAAAGCTACGTACGACAGCACAGGTGCACAGAAGGAGCCTACCCTAGGCACACAGCCCGAAGGATCTCTTGGTGAGTCCAGGCCTGCGCGCGCGCGCGCGCGTATGTTGTACGTCGGTCAGGGACAGGCTACGGGCGGGCGGATATCCGGCTAGCGTAAAATCGGTCGCAACTGCAGCCTGCAACCTAGCGGTGGAGGAAGAAAGGAGTCTTAGACGGTGGCCAGGACAAGATTCGCGTGTGCGGAGAATCGATAGCCGACGTTGGATGGTGCGTGTGTACGAAGCCGTAACTGGTCCGGGCTAATTAATTAATCAGCCGGAGGCTGCTTATCCCGGAAGCTAGCTGCTAGCCCAACTTCCAGCCAAGTCGCGTATCTTCGCCTACGTTGCTCTCGGTATGTGTATGCATTGTCGGGCTTGGGACTACTCTCCCGGGAGAGGAGAGAGAGAGAAGCAGGCTGTCGGCTGTTTCGTACGGGCGCAACTTTCAGCTTCCTCTCTATCCGGCAAACTCCCAAGCTGCCGCCCGCCCTCCCGCCGACTTGCCTCTCATTATCTTGATTAATTGACCGATGGCTCGCTCCTTTTCTCGCTTTCGCGGCGCCTGGCACGCTCCTCAAAGTTTCGCCTCGCTCGGCAATAATTGCGCATTTATCAATTAATTATGCTAACGAACGGTCCTTGATAGAGAGCCCGAGCTACCAAGTGCGCGCTACCAAGTGCATCGACGCGTTCATCGGGGGGATGCCTCGACGAATCGGCGATTCGATGAAAATATCATTCGGACGAAAGAACGGCAAGAGGCAGGTGCACACTTCGGATATTGAATAGTTGTGGCGGCGTAAGACAAAAGCTTTCTTTCCGAAGAAAAGTTCATTCCCGGGCCCCCGTCCGCGCCCCTCCGCAGCCCTCCGCAGCCCTCCGCGCCCCGCCGCACCCCCCGGTGCCGCGCGTCTTCGTCTCTTTTTTCTTTCTAGCGCCGAGCCTGAGTTCTGCAACAAAGAAGCCGCGCGCGAGCGCGAGAGACTTACAGCTATCGGTCCGGTCTTAATTTAAACTTGAAATTAATTTCATAGCCGTGAGTGCGCGAGCAAATAGCTGCGAACTTTCGCAAGTTCATAAGTGCGTCGCTATTTTACTTGAAACATTGCGACTTTCCTTTTCCTCTTCTTTTCTCTTTTTTAACTTGCCATCGGAGAAAAAAACTTAATAGTACAGTGATAAATGCCTGAAAAGGATATCGGGACTTGAAAGATTCTGGAAACAAGAAGATGAACAGCTCGCTCGCACGTTATAGGCGGTGGCGTCGCTCAACGCTGGCGCTCGCAGATCGAATGTTTATCGCGGCGCGCCATAAGTGAGCAGTTGGCGTGGATGATTCATGGGCGACGACGTAGCATGCGGCTGCCGGCTTTCTCGCTGCTCGCTCACTCACGCGCACCTACATCATGCAAATGTTTCCAATCATAAGCCAACTCCATAATCGATCTATAAATCTGCTCGAGGGGAAGGCGACACACGGAGCCCACGGCAAAGAATTGAGAGTGAGAGAGACGCACGACAGACGAGGGTTACTGCGTATGTCTATGCTTTCAATCCATCGCCCTGATCCAAAAGCCAATCGCTTTCTCTTCGACTCGCTTTCGGTCGAGCTAATGCTCGATGACTTTAAAATGTCTCTGTCTGTCGAAAGATGTGTTTGATAACGATAGGCAATTCAGTAAATGTCGTTTCACAGCTTTGCTCAGATAAATCATCTGATCAGAGTGCTCGAAAGTCTTCAAAAAGTCCTCATTTGTGCAGCTTTCGGAAAATACAAAATTAGAGTTTAAAATAGCAGAGCACATGAAAAAACTTTCACGACATAAAAAACTGACGTGTTGAATACGAAAGAAAATAGTTATCGAGGAGCAGAAGACATGCGAATGAAAAAAGATTGAACAGCGATCGATGAGCGTAATTCTTGTTAGCATATAATTCGTATGCATAGGGCTGTGTGTTCACTCACACCGCGCTGCTTCACCTACGGCTTTCGTCTGCGCGGTCTCTGCGCATAATAAAAGAATCAAGCTATAGTAATGGAATGAATTGATAGATGGACTTTTCTTTTTTCTTATCTTATAACAACGTTTCAGATCTTTTTACTGCTTTCCGCAGTAAAAACAATCCAGTTTTTAACAACCACGAAATATTAATGTATAAATAAACATTAACGGATTTCTCGTAAATTCTATTTGCTTCTTCACTTCTGCACAAACTTTACACATAATACTTGGATGGTTAATTAAATGAAGGATGTTAACATATAAATTGAAAATAATTTGAATAATCAATCAGCAGGATTTATGACAGAATGGAATTCGAGCGACTGATTAGATTAAATCTAGAATATGACAGTTCATTGCACTCAAATCATATAAATTACTATACAATTTACATGGTACACACGTTGAAGGTGCGTTTATATTGTTCCTTAAAACTAACTTTTATCAGAGGGCCACAGATTCAGTGCATGTGACAGTGCACATCACAGTATCACAAAGCTCTTTGAAAGATTTATGTCTTTCGAATTGATAGCTGAGTTGCATTCAAGAACGCACACAAATGTAATGTTTTAGGCTATGAAAATTTAACAAAAACTCTTGCAATCATATGTTATCGTATTTATTAACATCCTTTATCAAGATGTTCTAGATAGCTTAGATATTACACGGCACGTTCTTATCAAACTTTCACATAGCTTTTAAAAGCAAAACAACGTTTAATTTACGCTGTCTTGCCTTACCTGCAGCCGTTTACATATCTGCACAAGAAGAAGTCAGTCGTACGTATTGTTATATTATTATAAAACTTCCCAAACCTCAATTTCTTCACACTTTACGTATATTGTTATTATTAATTTAATGTGTCCATTATGATTAGTTTATGTACAACAAACGATTAACCATGTTATTTAATTTATGCACAAATTTTAGTAATTTTAGTAAAATGGATCGTTGGGCTGGTAAAGTAGCAGTAATTACTGGCGCTTCATCGGGAATTGGATTAGCGACAGCTAAAGCTTTAGTTCACCGTGGCTTGACTGTGGTTGGTTTGGCCAGAAGAAAAACTAAAATGGAGGTACAACGATTATCATATAGCGCTTTTCAGACTTGTTACATTACTATTTTTATACGCGATTATTCTTCAAGATTAATCTTTTTTCAGAACGAATTGAAAGACGTAAAAGGCCTTGGAAAATTTTACGCGGTAAAGTGCGACGTGACTATCAAAGAACAGGTCAAAAATGCCTTTGAATGGATCAAAACGAATTTAAAAACTATTGATATCCTCGTCAATAACGCAGGGACCAATACATCTGGTAGCGTGGCCGGTGAGTTCACGTTAGGAATTACTGGTAAAAGTGTAAGCTTACAAGAAACTTACGAGAACATGCGTCATTCTTTTAGACATTGACATTGACGAAATGAAGAAAATGTTAGATATCAATTTTATAGGAGTGCTCCTTTGCTCTCAATTGGCTATAAAAATGATGAAAAAAGCTGGCCACGAGTCACATATTATCATGATCAACAGGTCAGTAATAAACTTAGTGGATAAGTTTTTTAATTAAATTCGAACATTCAATGGTTGATTAAAGCGTCATGGGCCTTCGAGTAAATCCCGTTCCTACTCCAAACTGCACAAATATTTACGCAGCAACCAAGTTTGCTCTTCGAGCACTGTCCCTCACGCTAGAAAAGGAATTATACGATACCAGCATACGAGTAACGGTAACAATTTTCTGATTTTCTTTGTTGCTTTGCACGTCAATTAAAACAATTATTACATTAATATCCGTGTTTATTACAGAACATAAGCCCAGGAGCTGTGAAAACTGAATTATTGGAAAATATGTCGAAAGACTTTCCCGAGATTAATCAATTAATGACATTAGAACCCGAAGATCTCGCTGATGCTATTATTTATGTTTTGAGTACTCCTTCAAGGGTTCTTATTGAAGAGTTGACGATTAAACCTGCAAAAGCACCATATTAGTAAATCATTAATAGTTTAGAATTAAGGTTTATCCATCGTACATGCTTAAAACGTTTATTTAAATTTTTTACACGCGTATATATTTATTAATTGCTTCGTGCGAAGGAAAAAGCAAAAAGTTCGATGCCGTAGATTAAAGTAACAAAGTCTTGATAGACCATAACAGAAAATACATAACAATGACACGTGCATAAAATTATTATCGGTCACAAACCTTATCACAGTAATGATTGTCATCAAAATTCGATACAGATTGATAAAGCTCAGTAAAAATAAATAGAAAATCCATTAAAACATATGGTTCTTGCTAAAGGGTATTGTCAATGTAAAAATCAGTTGGTGCTAATGAAAAAAAGTCCAAGATTGATTATAGCTTCTTCTTATTTCTGATGATGAAGACGACGCCTTCCGAAGAGCGCAATTATAATCTTTATTCATTAGCAAGCCAGTCGAGCTTGCGGTTTCGAGATACGATTCTTTCCATTCTTCTCCGCCTCTCTCGCTCTCCAACTTGCCTTATGGACTCGCCTCGCGGATGATCAATATTAATTTAAGCTTGAAAAAAGATAATGAGAATGAAAGGCACTTTTATATGGCGTTCGACGAAATCTCTGAAAATTGAGTTGTTCCTTTAAATTGTCAAGAATGACGTTGGCGATTTTTTAATTGACACGCTTGGCTCGACTGCCAGATATCTTTTGTATAAGAGTATTATCAATTGATAACTTTGCTACTACTCACTAGGAATTCGCATTCGATATTTTATTCACGCAGAGATCGATAAATAAGATTTCAATGGAAAATATGGTAAATAATGCGCATTCACGTTTTACCATTCCTCATTCATTCACCCTACCCTCAGACCTTATATGGTAAGGCCGATGCGAAAATGATTATCCTCAAGTGTTTTCCTTCGATTATAAAATAAGAAAGAAAAAGAAAGGTACGTACGGCGATCCCATCGATTTCCATCTTGAAAAGTTGCCAGAGTCAATATGCGAATAGGATTTCAAGCGAGATAAACTGGAAATAAATTGAAAAAGTTTATTGCCGTGTTCGAAGAACAACACACACACACACGCACACACATACATATGTACACTTCGATATATTTCTTTATTCAAGCATCTGCGAAATAAGAAATCAGTTAATTGTCTGTACAAACTTTCAAGTGAACAACCTAAACAGTAACTTTCAAAATAAATATTCATAAATCACGAACAAAACAGACATAAAAAATGGGATAACTACAAATAAGTTGAACTCCGAGACAAATGATATTTTTTTTGGTACAGTCGAAGACGAACAGTAAAGAAAAAAACATGACGACGACTATATGCAAATATAGCACGGAGACAGAACTTGAGGTTGTCGCGTGTGCACGAGGGGGAAAACGGAAAAAATTACGACAAAGTGCTAAACGATCGCGGCGCACCACCTTATGCCGGGTTATCACTGCGTCTGCGTTTCTCTATATATGTGTATGTGGGAAGAGAAGAAATGGGAACGGGGAAGGCGGAGGCGGGGGGGGGGCAGAGGGAGGCCTCGAGATTTTAGGTCGACTATGCAAATAAGCCACTCAGCCCCGAATGTCTCAGGGGCTCGATTCGCCTCTTGCTTTTTCTTCTCGTGTGTGCACTGACTTGTTGGCCGCCTATCTATACTCTCGCTCGATGTCGATACGGATATGTCGCGAGCGCCTGGGAGCTAATTTCACGCCAACAACAGCTTTCTTCGCTCCACGTTCTTCATTTCGAATTCATCGCTGGAAAATTATAGGCCAGTGTTTACACTTGGCGGCAGCGTTTGAGAATGAGCTTACTCTTCGCAAAGAAGATTCGCGATTTTTCACTTTACCATGTCGTTTACTGCGGGCACAGTGTTTTCTGCTTACTGCGTACGCTACTGCGGCGTAGATGGTGTGCGCGTAACACGCGTGTGCAGCTCTTTTTATAAGAATAAAAACATTTACGGCCTCGCATAGTTCTCCATCTCACGAGTATATGCAGGATCTGAGAGTTATATAGCTACGCCAGCGCGCACCCTTCTGAAAAAGTATCAACACTTTTATCAACACTTATCGCGTATTTTCTCGACGTTCTAGTTTGTTGCATCAAGCTTCTAGCTCTCGAGCAGCTTTTTCAGCGATTAGTCACATTTTAAGATTTTTTTTTTCATCTTACCCCAGTCAAGTCAAGTTAGTACGTTGATGTTGCGTTAATTACAAAATATTTTATCAATGTGCAGATATTACAAATATACACAGTTGAGTAATTATTGTCACTTATAAACTAAACATTACAATTGTCCTTTAATATTTTCCGAAATTACTGTAAAGGCGCAATATATATAAAGTACATTTATTGAGTTCTCCGTATATTACAAAACTGTTCACACTTCAAACGACCACTTCAAGAGATAAGAAGAAATTTGAGCTTGAAAGTGGTGCCACCTATGAGCGCTGCCATGAAATAGCGAATTTATCAGCAGAGTTCCTATTTACACTCGTATCTCAAATGATATAAATTAGATTTGGATAATTTCAAAAGCGTTACCTTATTTTATCTAATTCCCTATAAATTTAACAGATATATCAACCAACTGCTTTTCAAAAGTATCTAAAGACGAATAAAACTCGACAATGGAACGTTATTTTTATACTAATGCATAATTTCAACAATTATTGTACCTCGCACGATAATTTACAGAAATATTATATTCATGAACTCTTGAAAAATATTTACCGTACAATATAAACATAAAAGAGGGCATAAAGAAAAAATGAAAAAAAAGACTATTTATATCGAACAAAGCGTGAAAACGAAAAAAAAAACTTCAAAGAACGTCCGAAACGCACAGCGTAAACAAATCATAGCATAGAACCCCGACAGTGCCACAAAGAATCACATGCAACAATCATCAAAAACGAAGCGGAAGAATAAGTGAAAGAAATAGTTGTTTGATGGTTACCGCGCCTCCTTGAAAAATAAAGAGACAGCGGTGTGCAAGTACATACAGCAAATCAAGATCGGCGGTGTCGCGCGAATTCGCTTAGATCGGCAGATAAATTCAGTCTTTGGTTTTCGACATGTGACTCAGTTTTAGTATGAGTACTATAAACACTTAGGCGGATATTTGCCAAGTGAGAGCGAGGGAGAACAAAACGATCTCATTCCCATCTCAATCTATATTCGAGCGTTGAAAGAGGTCGCGCGAGCCAAGCCCGTGGCTGTCGACGTGTGGGCGAGGGGGGGGGGGGGGGGGGGGGGGGGGGAGCTCTGTGTGTTGGCACCTTGCGCGGCGCAACCCTTTCAAGCCCCTTTCCGCACACGAAGGGCGCGAACCCCGACGCCACGCGCGTTTTTAACTCCGTGTGTATATGTATGAGGGGCCGCGCATATTGCCGGCTCTCCGTAGCTTTCTTCTTTTTTCTCTCACTCTTTTTTTCCTAGCGGCCGTCTTCACTTACTCTCTTGTTTTTCACTCGCGACGACGGCAGCTCTTTCAGCTCGCGCTCGCTCTCCTTTTTGTCACTGCGGCTGCACGAGTCTTTCTTCTTCCGAGATACCTTCTCTCTTTCGAGTGTCATCTTCTCTTCTTTCTTCCCTTTTTGATGTTTTATGCTCTTCGCGCACGACTCGCACCCTCGACTACTTCCGCACGCATTGTCGCTCGGTTGCTCGCTTGTCTTTTCATACTTGTTGTTTGAGATGTGAATTTTTTCACTGCTTCAAATGAGTATGCGTTGACGATCAAGTGACTTGAATGCACCTACTTGATTATTATGCTATTTCAGTTTCTTTTTGTCAGATGGATGGAACAACGTCTTCGTCGGTCAGCTAGTCGGTTCAAGAAAATTAAAAGAAAGAAAGATTAAAGAAAGATTAAGAAAGAAAGGAAGAAAGATTAAAAGTCGCTTCGAACTCTATTTTAATTCCTCGCGCTAGCCTACAACCTCAAGTACATTCTCAAGTATAGATAAAGATTACGGAGCGTTGACACACTTTACTAGCTGTAACCATCTGTTTTTTTATTATTGAATCATTAAAATTGCGAGACTAGCTGATGCGATAAATTCAAATTACTCCCAATACACGTGAACAACGTTCGACCAAGTAAAGTGTGAAGCCTCGGTCAGGCAAAATAATACGCTTACGCGTGAAAAACAACGATGAAAGAGTGATTATAGAAAAGTTTATTTTTGAGGTGAACGGTGAATGACGCGTAACCTCATACGGGCCGGAGACTCCTCTGTTATCGAGTAAGCAGAGCAAATTCATGAGAACAAATATGAAAATCTCGAGTGCAGTAGCCGCCAAGCGTGAAAAACAACGAGTAAATCCGAGGGTTAGGTTGGTGCTGCGCTCTCGAGTCTTCGCGGGCGCCTCGAGCCAAGTCCCCCTGTGTTTAGTTGCATTTCGCTCATAGCGCCAGCTATACGCGCTATCCCTATGTAGACAAAGCTTTAGCACGCACACATTGCCAACTGCGAGCTTGAAGACGATATCGTGTGCTGCTTGCAAGCCAGGTTGCGAGTGTCGATTATGTATTGCTAGTTTCCGCTTTCTCCAAGGCTCTATATACGCGGCTTTACGTCAAATTAATGGCCGGCTCGAGTTGTAACGTACATTGCTGAGGCTCGGCAATTGTTACTCTTGCTGAATTATCATCTCGTGTTTTTCATATTTATTGCTTCGATATTTACTGCATAAGCTAAAATTGTTCTTTACAGCTAATCTACGTTACACTTCACAATAACCAGAACTATTTGATGTGCCTAAAAACGTATCACGACACCTAAGCCGTCCTCGAATTCATCGCGTGAAGTTCCGAGAATTATTTGGAGGAAGGAACGACGGGCTGCAATAACATAAGAAGAGCAGCAACAAGAACATTATTGATAGATGGCGATGAAAGCAGCAGCGGTAAAATCTATTGGAGCAAAATAGAAGCGCAGCAGGCAGATAGTCTAGAGAATGAACGTAGAGAGGCAATAGCGA